AGTGGATAGTTCTATCAGTTCTAAACTGTTCTTCCTAGAGGTCCAGTAAGGATCATCTCTTATTGATCCAGTGTTACTACAGGAGGAAACCTAATTTAAACTAACTTTATTTATACTGGATAGCTCTATCAGTTCTAAACTGTTCTTCCTAGAGGTCCAGTAAGGATCATCTCTTATTGATCCAGTGTTACTACAGGAGGAAACCAACTCACTTTATGTTCCTGGAGAAGATCTTCAAGTTCAGCGACAGTATTTCCAGTGGTTCGTTCTGCGTTATTCAATCTCTCCTCAGCTTTAGCAAGCCATGCTTCAAGCTCGTTCTTAATCTGTTCATATTGCCTCCAAAGATCCCACATCAAATTAATCCTGTTCAACCAGTCGTTCGACTGTTGCTGGACGTTATGCCAGTGTTCCTTGAGGGACTGGATCTGGTGACGTAATATGTTCTTATGCGACTCGTTCTCAGTCTCCTCCTCCAGCTTGAAGCTCATCTCCGAGATATCATTGAGAAGATATTGTTTTCCACGGAGTTCATCCTCAACAGACTTAAGAAACAGAACATATTATAACATAATATTTATAGTACGCGCCTGCTGATTGGTCGAGAAGCGTGTTTCTATAACTGTATAAAAACGCGGGAATTTTCCCGCCGAAATTGACAAGCGAAGCGATGTAATGAGAATTTGTGATTGAATCGAATTATAATATTCGTACAAAATCTTTTTGTAAAAGGAATAGATTCATTTTCCCTGTGTTTCTATACAGTTATAATGTGAGCCTAACATTTGAATAATTTTGTCGTATATTTCGGTCTAGTAAGCAGAGTATTAGTGTTAATATAATTGTAAACAAACTTATAATCAACCCATAATAGTTACTTAAACAAATAATTACTTATCAACACGTTATAATGCACCTGTTTTTGCTTGTTCGTTAGTCTCTGCATTTCATCAACATTTCCCAGCATAATTCTTTGATTTTTGATAACATCCTCAACCAGAGACAGCTAGTCGTGTAATTCAGAAACTGCCTTGTCAAATTTAGGCCATGGTGTCGTTTTCTCGTCTGTAACAAAGCAAAGTTAACAAAACTATCTGTCAGTGTCTCTTGTTAACCCATTAGCTTGCAATGCACCCAGATGTGACCTACTTTAGTATTTCACTCTGTCTAATGTCAGATGATTTTACTCATCAGTGGAAGAGTATTGTCAGTTATTAAGTTAACAAAACTATCTGTCAGTGTCTCTTGTTAACCCATTAGCTTGCAATGCACCCAGATGTGACCTACTTCAGTATTTTACTCTGTCTAATGCCAGATGATTTTACTCATCAGTGGAAGAGTACTGTCAGTTAATAAGTTAACAAAACTATCTGTCAGTGTCTCTTGTTAACCCATTAGCTTGCAATGCACCCAGATGTGACCTACTTCAGTATTTTACTCTGTCTAATGCCAGATGATTTTACTCATCAGTGGAAGAGTACTGTCAGTTAATAAGTTAACAAAACTATCTGTCAGTGTCTCTTGTTAACCCATTAGCTTGCAATGCACCCAGGTGTGACCTATTTTAGTATTTTACTCTGTCTAATGTCAGATGATTTTACTCATCAGTGGAAGAGTACTGTCAGTTAATAAGTTAACAAAACTATCTGTCAGTGTCTCTTGCTCAGTGTAATGGTCAACAACGAGAGGTCAAAGCATACAAAAGGAAATACAGTGAAAAACAACCTCACCTCTGTATATAATTCTTTACATTTATTTTCAGCGTTTATTTCCCCAGCAAACGATGTGGTTGGGACACTTTTATTAAAACTATAAAAATTTTCATCGAGTAACCTCAAAACCTTCAAAGCTTCCTAGAAAGTAAACAGAAATACGCTTTCAGGTCGTGTGAATATCAGAGACACTCAAATATTTTCCTTCGTCTTGTAAGATTGAACATTTACAGGCAAACGACGAATATATTTGAGCATATTATGCAACAATTTAGACCATCATATTATGAATTTTATCGGCTCGTTTTTTGAGGATCAAAAACAAACAAACACTAAAATATTAGTTATAACATGGAATCGAAGAATTGGTCTTTAGGAAAATGCATTTTGTTTAGCGATCGTGTTATTTTCTGACCTTGAATTCGGTGAAATCTTCGCAAGACATTTGAGATAATTCTTGTTCACCTGCACCAGCCATGTTGTCCACGTGCCTTGGAATTGCAGGGGTACGTCAAGTAACAATGAAAATTGTGGATTCACAGGTTGGGTTAGGTTTCCTCCTGTAGTAACACTGGGTCAATAAGAGATGATCCTTACTGGACCTCTAGGAAGAACAGTTTAGAACTGATAGAGCTATCCAGTATAAATAAAGTTAGTTTAGTTCAGGTTTCCTCCTGTAGTAACATTGGATCAATAAGAGATGATCCTTACTGGACCTCTAGGGAGAACAGTTTAGAACTGATAGAACTATCCAGTATAAATAAAGTTAGTTAAGTTTAGGTTTCCCCTGTAGTAACACTGGATCAATAAGAGATGATCCTTACTGGACTTCTAAGAAGAATCGCATCTGGGTGCATTGCAAGCTAATGGGTTAACAAGAGACACTGACAGATAGTTTTGTTAACTTATTAACTGACAGTACTCTTCCACTGATGAGTAAAATCATCTGACACGAATCGATTAGGAAAAATCTAGGTTTATAAGCCTGGACCATGCAGTTTGAACCCATTCACTTAGCATACATAGCTCAGTGCGTTATACTCCAGTCCCAGTTCTCCCTCTCAGCTCGAGATATTTTGAGATTTATTTGTGGAAACACCGCAGCAAATTCCAGGAATTCCGCACAGCAAATGACGCATTTTATGCAAACACTTTATAAGGAAGAGATATTTGTCTTCATAAAGACATAAACTGATCATTTTGGAGAAGATTTTCAGAAAATACAAACACTTCTTCATCTTGGTATAAAAATATAAAATACAAACTATTTCTTGGTATAAAGCATCATTTTCTTCGAATTCATTTCCATATAATGAAACAAGAAATTCCTACCAACATAAACACAACCAATTGCAAGTCAGTATTTCAATAGGAGATGCTGAGCTTTTGTCAGGAGACAATAATAATAATATAATTTTTTAATACCACAAATTCCTGTTCACAAAACACTCTTTAAACACTCACGGAAGAGATATTTCTCTTGCGCTTCTCAACAGATAATTTTGCCGTAGCGATTTGAGAATTTAGAAAATACAAACACAGACATCTTCAAGAACGAACACTGTATCTATATTCAGTCTATACAGCGAGGTTTATACTACAGAGCGACAAACAACACAGAACTTGCTTTATTATTACGACACAAGAACGACGTGAAATATGGCTTCATATATACAAGGCTACGATGAAGAAAGGTTTGTGAACCAAATCGATCGAAATTTCCTCTGTCAGATTTGCTTCAATGTCTTGAAAGAGCCGGTTATGTGTTCGAAAACCAGCATTCTTTTTGCCGTTGTTGTATTACGAAACATCTGGAAAATTCTCAAACATGTCCAACGTGTGCTGATGAACTGACCGTAGAGACTTTGGCCGAAGCACCACGAATTGTACAAGATTTTTTAAATGAATCGAAAATTCGTTGCGTTTACATCGACAGAGGTTGTCAAGAAGTTGTAGAAGTACAGCATCTTGACCGCCATGAAGATACATGTGGATATACACCAGCCGTTTGTACAAACCAAGGCTGTGGTTTAATTGTCAACAAGCGTGATCTTATTCACCATGAAAGTGAAGTCTGTGAATTCCGAAAGTTGAAGTGTCACTCGTGCGGAGAAATAACCAAAACTTTGGCAGATATGGAGGAAAGAATGGCGAAGAATAATGCAACAATTGAAACTAAAATAACAAATTTAGAGAAAAATGTTGCCACTGTTGCGAATAATATGGAGAAAAACACGGCAGATTTAAAAGCAGATTAAAAGCAGATATGGAAGGAAAACACGAAGCGGTTAACAACAAAGTCGATGGATTGAAAACAGCTTTGGTCAGAGCTTTTGATGAAATGAAGGACGTTCTTATCACGATGGAGGGCAAGATAGAAGAAAACTCAAGAAAAGTAAGAAATAGACCAAGTGGTGATAGGAGAATATAATTGTTCCTGGAGGTGGAGGAACTAAGTCTGTAGAGATGTTTAACTGGCGCGAAAGAAAATGGTCGCCATTACAATCAATGCAAAGAATCGTTATGGAGCGACTTCATTTATTTATAACAATCATATGACTATAGCTGGGGGTTGTGGTGGGTCTGACATTGTTGATGATATGATTAGAATGAATGTTGACCCAAACTCTGATCTCTCAACACACTGGAGTGACTGTCCTGTTAAACTACCTGATAAGTTGGAAAACCACAGCAGTGTGCTGTATAATGATCAGTTGATAGTCTCTGGAGGTGGTAATGGAAATGGTTCATCTGACTTGATCAGATCAGTCCAGCTTGTTCCTCCCTATACTGTGAAGACCTTATCAAGAATGCCAGAACCAAGACAATATCACAGGATGGAAATATTTGATGATAATTTGTTGATAGTTGGTGGAAGAACAACTGACAATTACAAAGACAGCCTCAGCAGTGTCGTACTGTACAATATAAAGAATGAGCTGAGACAGTTGTCACTACTGCCGTATGAAGTGAGTGATATGGCAACTGTGAGATGGGGAGACAACATTGTTGTTATTGGTGGCGCTGACAAACATGGCAAGGCATTAGATACAGTTATCATTTACAATGTCAAGACAGAACAAAGTCACATGCTGCCACCAATGAGATGTAAGAGGAAGGGATGTACTGCAGTTGTTATTGAAAACAACATTGTAGTCCTGGGAGGGTGGGGTAAGGGAAGATACCTGAAGTCAGTTGAAGGTTTCAACTTTGAAAGGTATTCTTGGGAAGAACTTCCAGAAATGTCTGAAGCAAGATGGCGGCACACTGCTGTTGTTGTGTGAACAATATGTAAGGTATTAAGTGAAAACTCCTAACATATTATGAACAATTGAAATGAACTATAAGATTTTCACAAAGTTATGGAAATAGATTGTAGCATAACTAGCATTCTAAGTTGATTGTCAGACATATACTGATTTGTAGATCAAATAAAAGAATTCAAACAATAGGTAGGTGCATGAGTGAAAAAATTTGATTAAATATTTTGACCATGTTGGATCAGAGTTATTAGTTTCTATTAACTGTGGTTTGGATTTGAAAAATTCAACTTTTCTAGAAGCATAAATATTTCTGGGAGGAGACATAAAATGAAAGGGTAAACTTACGATGATTCAGAGCATGTGATGCAGGGAATATTTCTGATGTTAGATTTCAACATTGATAATGGCGCCTGTTCATCTCTACCATGATGTTCCCCACATTTGAAATAAAATTCCTATGAAAGAACTAGAAGTTTTAAATTTTTTTTCAACAACCTGGTATGAATTGTCTGCATTCATGATTTTACTCATCAGTGGAAGAATACTGTCAGTTAATGAGTTAACAAAACTATCTGTTAGTGTCTCTTGTTAACCCATTAGCTTGCAATGCACCCAGATGTGACCTACTTTAGTATTTTACTCTGTCTAATGTCAGATGATTTTACTCATCAGTGGAAGAGTACTGTCAGTTAATAAGTTAACAAAACTATCTGTCAGTGTCTCTTGTTAACCCATTAGCTTGCAATGCACCCAGATGTGACCTACTTTAGTATTTTACTCTGTCTAATGTCAGATGATTTTACTCATCAGTGGAAGAGTACTGTCAGTTAATAAGTTAACAAAACTATCAGTCAGTGTCTCTTGTTAACCCATTAGCTTGCAATGCACCCAGATGTGACCTACTTTAGTATTTTACTCTGTCTAATGTCAGATGATTTTACTCATCAGTGGAAGAGTACTGTCAGTTAATAAGTTAACAAAACTATCTGTCAGTGTCTCTTGTTAACCCATTAGCTTGCAATGCACCCAGATGTGGCTTACTATTGTATTTTAGGTGTGATAGGTGAATAACTTAGAGCTGTTTTTCCCTGACAGTTTGTATTGGATTCACATTATCCCTGCATGCGGCCTTTGATCAATACATCATCCCAACCATTTGGACCCTTGCAAGAAACCATAAATATTGTGTAAACAAGATGTTTGTTGACATTCAAAAACTTTCAAAGCAAGCTTGTAAACAAGTTGTAACAATGTCAACATTTTACAAAGTCTAAATATAAATCTGCTGCAGATGTTTTACAAGTTGTTTATAAGGAAACAGTAAATACCTGTGATAGAACAAAGCTTCCTTCCTTGCAATTTGAACATCGACATCGCAATTTTCCTCGTGTTAGTTTCTTGCAAGTTTTACAATAAACAAAGAAGAAACTTTGCTTGTCTGAGATGAGAGAGTATGAAAAATATGGATTATTAAAGAAACCCTGGTGTTAGAAAGAGCAGGGTTTTATATTCAAGCTGATCTGATATGGCGGAAAAGGACTAGTAGGACTAGTTGTCATATAAAAATCCATTTCTCGATTGAAACAACTTAATATCTCGTGAAATATACTTCATTTCGGTTTCAAATTTCTATCACAGCTATAGTTCTTATAACTAAACATAATCGCAAAATTTTGAATGGTTTCATCAAGAATGATAAAAGATATAATCGATTAAACACTGCAGAATGGATTTCTATTTTCACAAACTTTCTGAGCGCTGATTGGCTGAAATATGAGCGCGAGATCACCTGACCATTGATGGAGTAATTAATAAAAGATTAGGAGGGTGAGATATATTATAAGACTTTTAGGGAGGGGTGATGGAGAAGGGGGGACTACAGAAGGTTAAATTGTGCCTTGGAATTGCTTGGTACGTCAAGTAACAATGAAGATTCTGGATTCACAGTTTAGGTAAGTTTCCTCCTGTAGTAACACTGGATCAATAAGAGATGATCCTTACTGGACCTCTAGGAAGAACAGTTTAGAACTGATAGAACTATCCAATATAAATAAAGTTAGTTTAGTTTATGTTTCCTCCTGTAGTAACACTGGATCAATAAGAGATGATCCTTACTGGACCTCTAGGAAGAACAGTTTAGAACTGATAGAGCTATCCAGTATAAATAAAGTTAGTTTAGTTTAGGTTTCCACCTGTAGTATAACTGGATCAATAAGAGATGATCCTTACTGGACCTCTAGGAAGAACAGTTTAGAACTGATAGAGCTATCTAGAATAAATAAAGTTAGTTTAGTTTAGGTTTGAAGGATGTGATTTTAATTTAGTTTCTCGAAACAAAAATGTTGTGCAAATGAAAGGGATTAAAACCATAACAAAAGATGTAAACAAAGCTCGAACATGCGTAGAAGCGACTGTAATCCAGCTTTAAAACTATCGCAGCATCGTTAGCACATTTGAAAGTGTAAATTTCGCATTTTAATAGAAAAAGTTAAAGCTTTTAGAGTGGACTTAAATTACTGGAAAATAACATTTCTCGTGTTATTTTCCTGAAAATAAACTGAAAATATCAGACTTCAGAAGAACATTTGATTCGGCACCAGCTCTCTCTCTCGGCTCGAGACATTTTCAAATTCATTTTTGGAAACACCGCAGCAAATTCCAGGAATTCCTGAGTCCTGACAGAAAAGGAGGCGCCTTATGCAAATACTTTATAAGGAAGAGATATTTGTCTTCATAAACTGATCATTTTGGAGAAGATTTCGAGAAAATACAAACGCAGACTTCTCTAAGAACGAACACTGTATCTATATTCAGTCTATACAGCGAGGTTTATACTACAGAGCGAGAAACAACACAGAACTTGCTTTATTATTACGACACAAGAACGACGTGAAATATGGCTTCATATATACAAGGCTACGATGAAGAAAGGTTCGTGAACAAAATCGATCGGAATTTCCGTTGCCAGATTTGCTTAAATGTCTTGAAAAAGCCAGTTATGTGTTCGAGAAACCAGCATTCTTTTTGCCGTTGTTGTATTACGAAACATCTGGAAAATTCTCAAACATGTCCAACGTGTGCTGATGAACTGACCGTAGAGACTTTGGCCGAAGCACCACGAATGGTAAAAGATTTTTTAAATGAATCGAAAATTCGTTGCGTTTACATCGACAGAGGTTGTCAAGAAGTTGTAGAAGTGCAGCATCTTGACCGCCATGAAGATACATGTGGATATACACCAGCCGTTTGTACAAACCAAGGCTGTGGTTTAATTGTCAACAAGCGTGATCTTATTCACCATGAAAGTGAAGTTTGTGAATTCCGAAAGTTGAAGTGTCACTCGTGCGGAGAAATGACCAAAACGTTGGCAGATATGGAGGAAAGAATCGCGAATATCGAAAATAATAATGTAACGATTGCAACTAAAATAACAAATTTGGAAAAAAATGTTGCCACTGTTGTGAATAATATGGAGAAAAACACGGCAGATATAAAAGCAGATATGGAAGGAAAACTCGAAGCGGTTAACAACGAAGTCAAAGGATTGAAAACAACTTTGGTCAGAGCTTTTGATGAAATGAAGGACGTTCTTATCACGATGGAGGGCAAGAAAGAAGAAAACACAAGAAAGGTAAGAAATAGACCAAGTGAAGATAAGGAAAATATAATTGTTGCTGGAGGTGTAGGAACTAACTCTGTAGAGATGTTTAACTGGCGTCAAAGAACATGGTCACCATTACAATCAATGCCAAAGAACCGTTTTGGAGCGACTTCATTTATTTATAACAATCATATGACTATAGCTGGGGGTTACTGTGGTGGGTCTGGCTTTGTTGATGAAATGATTAGAATGAATATTGACCCAAACCCTAATCTCACAACACAGTGGAGTGACTGTCCTGTTAAACTACCTGATAAGTTGGAAAACCACAGCAGTGTGCTGTATAATGATCAGTTGATAGTCTCTGGAGGTGAAAAGAGAAATGGTGTATCTGACTTGATCAGAGCAGTCCAGCTTGTTCCTCCCTATACTGTGAAGACCTTATCAAGAATGCCAGAACCAAGACAAGGTCACAGCATTGAAATATTTGATGATAACTTGTTGATAGTTGGTGGAACTACAACTGACAATTACGACGACAACCTCAGCAGTGTTGTATTGTACAATATAAAGAAGAATGAGCTGAAACAGTTGTCACCACTGCCATATGAAGTGAGTCTCATGGCAACTGTGAGATGGGGAGACAACATTGTTGTTATTGGTGGCCTTGACAAACATGGCAAGTATTTAGATACAGTTATCATTTACAATGTCAAGACAGAACAAAGTCACATGCTGCCACCAATGAGATGTAAAAGGTATGGATGTACTGCAGTTGGTATTGAAAAGAACATTGTAGTCCTGGGAGGATATCATAAGCGACGAGAGCTGAAAGTAGTTGAATGTTTCAACTTTGAAAGTTATTCTTGGGAAGAACTTCCAGAAATGTCTGAAGCAAGATACTGGCACACTGCTATTGTTGTGTGAACAATATGTAAGGTATTAAGTGAAAACTCCTAACATATTATGAACAATTGAAATGAACTATAAGATTTTCACAAAGTTATAGAAATTGATTGTAGCATTCTAAGTTGATTGTCAGACATATACTGATTTGTATTTTTGTGATTGAATTTGAGTCAGTTCTTGGAATTATATGTTAAAGAACAATGACAAATATATGAAATAGATATTTTCATTGAGGAAGGTTTAAAATGAAACATCAAATAAAAGAATTCAAACAATAGGTAGGTGCATGAGTAAAAAAATTTGATTAAATATTGACCATGTTGGATCAGAGTTATTAGTTTCTATTAACTGCAGTTTGGATTAAAAAATTCAACTTTCCTAGAAGGATAAATATTTCTGGGAGGAGACATAAAATGAAACCTGGTAAAGTTACGATATTTCAGAGCATGCGATGCAGGGAATATTTCTGATGTTAGATTTCAACATTGATAATGGCACCTGTTCATCTCTACCATGATGTTTCCTCAAGTAAGAACGAAGATTGTGGATTCACAGTTTAGGTAAGTTTCCTCCTGTAGTAACACTGGATCAATAAGAGATGATCCTTACTAGACCTCTAGGAAGAACAGTTTAGAACTGATAGAACTATCCAGTATAAATAAAGTTAGTTTAGTTTACGTTTCCTCCTGTAGTAACACTGGATCAATAAGAGATGATCCTTACTGGACCTCTAGGAAGAACAGTTTAGAACTGATAGAACTATCCAGTATAAATAAAGTTAGTTTAGTTTACGTTTCCTCCTGTAGTAACACTGGATCAATAAGAGATGATCCTTACTAGACCTCTAGGAAGAACAGTTTAGAACTGATAGAACTATCCAGTATAAATAAAGTTAGTTTAGTTTACGTTTCCTCCTGTAGTAACACTGGATCAATAAGAGATGATCCTTACTGGACCTCTAGGAAGAACAGTTTAGAACTGATAGAGCTATCCAGTATAAATAAAGTTAGTTTAGTTTAGGTTTCCTCCTGTAGTAAGACTGGATCAATAAGAGATGATCCTTACTGGACCTCTAGGAAGAACAGTTTAGAACTGATAGAACTATCCAGTGTAAATAAAGTTAGTTTAGTTCAGGTTTCCTCCTGTAGTAACACTGGATCAATAAGAAATGATCCTTACTGGACCTCTAGGAAGAACAGTTTAGAACTGATAGAGCTATACAGGCAATTAAATATGCAAACATTTATTATAAAAACAAGATTATAAAGGAGTTACATCTTAAAACATTGAAAATTTTATACGTCTTACATCTTAAGCAGGTTATATCAGAACATTAACACCAGAATATCTATATATTGTTAGTACAAACATTGAACAGAGTCAGACAGAAACGTAAGATTAAAAATCGCGTATTGCCTTAAATCCTAACTAAACTGTGTAAATATTTTCCAAAGTCAAATCATCGTTCTTCGCCCATTAATGGTTGCTTTGAGGAGTCTCCGTGCGATCCTAAAATATGGAGACGATATGATTAGATTTGCCATGAAATAATTTGCCTAATGTTTGGTTAGTGAGACCAGTAAAAGTCTCTGAACTTTGTGATCACGTGAATGACATACCTCCATCATGCGGAAAGGACGTGTTTATTTTATCCATGACGTCACGTAGCTCAGGGTCTTGTATACCTCGAGAACCTGTGACCAGCGGTTTTCTTTCACCATCGTTGTCACTATCGCTTGCCGTGGCGTCACCATGGTAACCAGGTTTCTTGACTGAACCAGATGAGGACGCTGGAGTCATTCGCGATCCTGATCTTTCAGACGGCTGGGAATAAAGTTTAGAATTGATAGAGTTATCCAGTATAAATAAAGTTAGTTTAGTTTAGGTTTTCTCCTGTAGTAACACTGGATCAATAAGAGATGATCCTTACTGGATCTCTAGGAAGAACAGTTTAGAAGTGATAGAGCTATCCAGTATAAATAAAGTTAGTTTAGTTGAGGTTTCCTCCTGTAGTAACACTGGATCAATAAGAGATGATCCTTACTGGACCTCTAGGAGTAACAGTCTAGAACTGATAGAGCTATCCAGTATAAATAAAGTTAGTTTAGTTTAGGTTTCCTCC